CAATTTTGAGAATTTTTGAAGTCCATTTACTATATTTTCAAGGCCTATTTCGTGAACAGTGCAAAGCTGTCCGGTTTTGTCAAATTTCAAAGATTTAGCATTTTCTATATGAGGACATTGGAATTTCGACTAGTCCATTTACCTCATCCAAGCTTTGGCCCCAAGTTTTGTCTCTCTATAAATAGAAAAACTTGGGGCCAAAGCTTGGATGAGGTAAGCGCACGTATCATCCAAGGATGAGGTCATGGCTTAGGTCATTTGGGGCATGAGGTCATTGCTTACCTCACATGGCCATTAAGGCATGCCATCATGATAGGGACTCCAAAGTCAAGATCATTTAATTAGGCTTCTTGAACAAGCCTAATTCATTTCCAACTTGAGCTTCAAGTTTTGATTTCTCTAGAATCCTCCAATTCCAAGCTTGCTTCTCTCTCTCGGTTTCCCCCTGGGCCAAGATCCAATAAAAGTGTAACACAGCTCATTGGAAAGATCATAATGTGTTATTTAAATTACCAGAAGACATCTAGTCGAAATTCCAATGTCCTCATATAGAAAATGCTAAATCTTTGAAATTTGACAAAACCGGACAGCTTTGCACTGTTCACGAAATAGGCCTTGAAAATATAGTAAATGGACTTCAAAAATTCTCAAAATTGAATATGTCCTAAGAAAGACCTTACTAAACATTTTTCATGCAGAACACAAAATCTGAATCTCTCTGTAAACATCATTTTTAGTAGTTCAAAGACAGACTAAAAACAGTTCACTGGAACAGAATCTTTGCTTCTCAAAGTAAGCTCTGTCCATAATTCAAATCATCTTGGAAAATTCCCAATTTTATACACGTTATAGAAAAGGAAGTTCTCAACAACTTTCATGAAGGAAACTTTTCCAAAATCTGAACAGAAAAGCTTGTAGAAAATAAAGACTGTGTGAACATCACCGAAATACCCATTCTGGGCAGTTTCACACGGTCCAAAAATCAGGCCATCGTACCACTCATATCAACTCCAAAAATTCTGAAATTAAAGTATGTGAAACTGCAAGATGTTTGGAACAACTTTCAAGAAGGAAGTATTCTGAAATTCGGATCACAAAAGTTTCCCCAAAAATAACAATACAAAGAGGTACAAAGGATCCGAAACTGGGTTTTCCAAAACAAGAGAAAACAATTTAGTTCCGATTGGAAAACCACCAAACTTAAACCATAGCCATTTCCCAGGAACTGAAATTGAGGATATTTCAATTTACCTGCGGCTTCCCAGGCCCAAAATCGGGATGTGACAATTCTCCCCCTCTAATAAAATTTCGTCCTCGAAATTTAAACGCGTACCTGGTTCCTCGAATAATGCAGGTATCAACTTTTCCTCAATTCCTCACTCTCCCAGGTGGCTTCTTTTATGCCCCGGTGACACTATAGGACCTTAACTAAGAAAATGGCCTTACCTCTCAACACTTGCTCCTTACAATCCACGATCCGCACCTGCTCCTCAGCATAGGACACTCTGCCGTCCACTTCGACCTCGTCGAAAAAAATTCAGCACGCGTGCCGGATCGGGCTCACACTTTCACAATATTAATACATGGAACACAACATGTACCTGAGCAAGTTTCGGTGGCGGCGCCAACCGATAGGCCAAATCCCTTTTCCTTCTCGAATTTCAAAAGATCCTACGTACCTGGGACTTATCTTACCTTAGTACCTTTACAGCATCCACTGTAATGTGGACTAGCTCTGGACCAGCGACCTTTCCTTCCCCGACCTCGATCCAACATACTAGAGTGCAGCAAGCTTGACCACGCTTCCGCTGCGCTACTCTGATAAAATCTTCCTCAAACACAATTTACTTACTTTATAACAATCAGGAAGATCGCACTTATCATTTCAAATAACAGTTCCCGTCTTACTTTCAATTCAGTACCTAGTTCAGTTTATTCCTCTTCTTACCCGCCATCCTAGAAGCCTGCCAGGAGCCGCACCTTGTTCAGGTCTTTATCCCTAGCAATCACTCTTGCTAGAAGCCGCACCTTGATCAGGCCTCATGCCCCGGCGTCCACTTCCTAGCCAAGAGCTGCTCCTTGATCAAGTTCTGCCCCGGCGATCACTCCTCGCCCTCATCGGATCGGGTTATGTCAAAATTCAACAGCCTTCTCTTGGCTCAACACCGAACTGCAACTTACTAGAGGGGAACCTGCTTGGACTTCTCTTTCGAGGTCGTGGCGTCCTGATGGGACTTTCCATTTTCCTCAGCAGTCGCAGCCTAGTCCTGAGCACTTATTTTGCTATCAATAGTCTAACAAGACTTTCTATAACACAAGAATAGGTCAGTGATCACAAACAAATAGGAGCACTTAACCTATTCAACCACAATCAATCATTCACATGCATAGGGGTGTTTCTTAGCTAACTACCCCAAATTTAGCGCACCTTATCACTCCAGGTCTTTATTCCCACTTTGATTTCAGAATCGTTTTCCCAATTCGGTGCACAGTTCGATCATTCTTGCCTTTAGCCATCCTAGAAGCCTGTCAGGAGCCGCTCAATGATTAGGCCTTTCACCCTAGCGCCACTTCTACCCAGAGGCCGCTCAATGATCAGGCCTCATACCCCGGCGCCACCTCTGTCAGAAGCCACTCAATGATCAGGTCGTTTGGCCCCGGCGCCACTCCCCGCCCTCGTCGGACTGGCCAATCGCAAGCTGCCCCGAACTGCACCTACTGGAGGGAAAACCTGCTCTGATACCAAATTAAACTGTGACGCCCCGACCTCGGGATCATTAACGTGACGTCCCGTTCATTATTATCTCTCTTTAAATACAAGCGGAAGCATATCTCGGGACAATCACATTTAAAAACAACAGCGGGATTAAGACAAACAGCATCATGAGCAAACCTTATATTTATAGGACACGCAAACATATTTTACAAGCCAACTTAGCCGATTTTAGCCATTTATACAACAAATGGTACGGCTTGGGTGTCCTAAGCCCACTACTTCGGGTTCACAGCTCCGAGCTTTCCCCGAACTCCAACATGGCTCAAACTCCCCCTGTCGCCGCCGTCCGTTCGACCATCCTATGGACCTGCGAGAGAAAAACGGGGGATGAGTCGGGGAGACTCAGCAAGTGAGAACACTAATATCATGCGAGGATATATCAATCGCCGTTAACATAAGTCGGCCCTTACCGCACCCGCATCGATGGCAGATCAATAGCAAAGTTCAAACAAGAGAACATCACGCATGGCCACATCGTGCACACTTTACAAACCAAGGCTCGGTTCTTTCTCAAAACAACATCAAACATGAAACATGGTCAAATCGAGAAATGAACCAACTACGACCAACCAAACAACCGAGAAACGGTCCAAGCAAACCACGTCACAACGCATCTCAACATCCTTTCCCGATATTAGGGAATTCACTTACTCAACAATTAAACAAGAACTAGAGAAAACGAGGCGTGTGAAGGACACGTGAGTCTCGGCAATTCTCGGGCGATTCTTGGTGGTTCTCGGGCTTAAACACGAACACTCGGGCCTTGCATAAGGCTTCCTCACTCGATCAAACCACAAGAGAGAGACACGGGCTAGTCGGTAAGCTTTTTCTCTCTTTCTTTCTTTCTTTTTCTCTCTTTCTCGGTCATGAATACAAAGCAAGAATAAGAAAGAAGGTTGGGCGGAGCTCTCGGGGCATGGAAATGGCGTGAGGGAGAGGAAGGGAGGGGGGCTTCACGTGAGGTTCTCCCTCTCTCTCTTGGCCGAATGGCCTTCTTTCTATTTATAGAGAGACAAAACTTGGGGCCAAAGCTTGGATGAGGTAAGCGCACGTGTCATCATGGAGCATGAGGTAAGCGCACGTGTCATCCAAGGATGAGGTCATGGCTTAGGTCATTTGGGGCATGAGGTCATTGCTTACCTCACATGGCCATTAAGGCATGCCATCATGATAGGGACTCCAAAGTCAAGATCATTTAATTAGGCTTCTTGAACAAGCCTAATTCATTTCCAACTTGAGCTTCAAGTTTTGATTTCTCTAGAATCCTCCAATTCCAAGCTTGCTTCTCTCTCTCGGTTTCCCCCTGGGCCGACCTCCAATAAAAGTGTAACATATCTCATTGGAAATATCATAACGTTTAATTTAAATCACCAGAAGACATCTAGTCGAAATTCCAATGTCCTCATATAGAAAATGCTAAATCTTTGAAATCTGACAAAACCGGACAGCTTTGTACTGTTCACGAAATCAGACTTGAAAATATAGTAAATGGACTCTGAAAATTCTCAAATTTTAATATGTCGTAAACAAGACCTTACTAAACATTTTTTATGAAGAACACAAAATCTGAATCTCTCTGTAAACACCATTTTTAGTAGGTCAAAGACAGACTAAAAACAGTTCACTGGAACAGAATCTTTTCTTCTCAAAGTAAGCTCTTTCCATTATTCAGATCATCTTGGAAAATTCCCAAATTTATACACGTTATATAAAAGGAAGTTTTCAACAACTTTCATGAAGGAAACTTTTCCAAAATCTGCCCAGAAAAGCTTGTACAAAATAAAGACGGTGTGAACATCATCGAAATACCCATTCTGGGCAGTTTCACAAGGTCCAAAAATCAGGCCATCGTACCACTCATATCAACTCCAAAAATTCTGAAATTAAAGTATGTAAAACTTCAAGATGTTTGGAACAACTTTCAAGAAGGAAGTATCTGAAATTCGGATCACAAAAGTCTCCCCAAAAATAACAAAACAAAGAGGTACAAAGGATCCGAAACTGGGTTTTCCAAAACAAGAGAAAACAATTTAGTTCCGATTGGAAAACCACCAAACTTAAACCATAGCCATTTCCCAGGAACTGAAATTGAGGATATTTCAATTTACCTGCGGCTTCCCATGCCCAAAATCGGGATGTGACAAGAATTATGAAGCTCAAACACATCAAGAGCACGCCTAGAATTACCTCAAACTTCAAAAGCTCATAAAAAATCAAGCTAGATTATAGAATATTTTGATAACAAAAATTAGCATCAGAAAGGTGATGCCTACACAGGGTTATGCCATAAATTATCTTACAATCTGATAATCAAGTTAAAAGCATGAAATGTACTTGTGATCACAGCTGCAATCCTCAGTAAACACATGAACATCAAGGCAATAACTGATCCGGACATGCATCACGCTTCCTTTCTTAGGTCCCTTGATGAAATTCTGTGATCGAAAAAGCAATAAACGAAAATGCATTGTCGGTCAAAGTGCACTGAATCATTTGCAGATACTTTATCGTCAATAACATTCACACGAATCTCTATACTTGAAGGGCTGTTTGAACAACACTATGATTATACAACTTTTTATGATTTTGAGACAATAATCACCATTAACTGTTTCTGACATCACAAAACAAACAGCATAGAATCTTATTATACTAGAGTCTGCATCAACGATGTCACATCCAGATTTGCACTTTACATGTAGTATCCAAAGGATCACAAAACTATTAGTCCGTAAGTTATTTTGCGATGAGTTCACCTCAAGAATGGAAACTACCTTCAACTGCAAGTTTGACTTTAGGTTTAGTCAAATTAAGAGATTGACTGACAAGAATAAGAATAATGATCATTATGATTAGAATAAACGAAGAATCAGGAATGAAGAGCAAGGATGTTGTCTAACTTCATTTTGAAGACCTTTATATTGCCTCGTGATTAAATATTACCATACAAGAAAATTTATAGCTGTAGGTATACTCAATCGTCGCATGAGCATCATATCATACTGCCACAACAAGAGACATTGCCACAGCGCCCTAATCCGTGGCATTCCATTGGTAACAGCTATACTACAGAAAGGTCACATCATGCAGCCCATTTGTTATATGCACAAGTAAATGATCATCGTTCAATATGCAGCAAAGGTGCTTCAAAATACTATACATGATGTACATTATGTTCAGAAAAGCAAGGAATCATAAGTTCAAAGGTCTTACCTAGTTGTGCAAAGGCACAAGAAGGTTCGACAGGAAGAATCAATGCACGTAGATCTAATGAGAAGCCTGAGTAACCCATGACCTGTGAGGCTTTGGAGCTGAAAATCAAAGATTAGGATTCAGCATACATATATATAAACAAATCATAGATTCCACAATGTCAAAAACAGAGAATGAATTGAAAAGGAGGGGAAAAAAGGAGAAGAGAAATGACACTTCATGTAACAAGGTTCAACAAAACAAAGAAGAAACATGAACCAAATTGATTTTATCATTGCAAAGGTCAATTATTAAAGGCCATCTTTTCTGAATGTAATGAGTTTCCAAAGCGTACTAATTATCTCAGAGGCGTGAAAAGGTTCTGGTCCGATCAGTCTCTTGAAATATTTGCAACTGAAGAGCACAAACTGGACAATTGCTCGACCAAGAACCATATATAATTGGTAATTCATGATAGGGATCAAGGAAGAAGATATTTCTCTCTAACGAGTCTAACCAATGGATTATCAACTATTAAGATACTGCACTTCGTCTTTTTCCTTAACCAAGGACATGACATCCCATTTTTCAAATAGCAATCCGGCTAGGTATACTGAGTCTGGAGGAAGCAACATATGAAATGTTCTTTCTCTAGCTGGTTGAGAGAATTGATTGAAAAGTAGAAATAAAAAGAGGCTTCCTGAATTCTTCTTAATCAATATGAAAGGGGATCAGTGCTAGGAAGACCGTCGTATTAGGCTCTAAAAGATAAATTTTTCCGGAAGGGTCTTTCAGGGAGACGTTGCTAGCAGGCACAATCTCAACTTCATTGATTGATAAAGAAAACTTTGGTTCAAAGGTAGAATTTCTCTATTATGCTCATAAAAGCCTCTTAGAAAGTATTTAACCATGGGTCCATTGAAAACGAACTACCATTTCCCTTAGGTTATCTAATGTAAATAGGTGCAAACTGCATTATAATAACATTCTTTCGAACAGATAATTCAACTGACTAAAATGGTTGATTGCCATTTATACCATTAGGGTTTCCTCGTTCATAAAAATCTCGTAGAAGAGTGTTGGGTTTATTACTTTAGAGTATTAGCAAGTTGGGGGTATTTGTGTAAATGTATTAGGCTTAATCCTAAGCCTATAAATACTCTTTGTTATCTCTGAAATAAAGTTAAGTTACTCTTTTATCATTAACATGGTATCAGAGCACAAATTAAAAAAACCTAAACCCTAAAATTAACACTTCTCATAGCAAACCCTAGCCGCCACCACCATTGTAGATCCCTCCGGCGACCTCCGTCTGGCGTTGCCCAGGGCCGGCGACCCTCCTTCCGGCGACCCTCCGTCCGGCGTCGCCCAGGGCCGGCGACCTCCGGCGACCTCCGTCCGGCGTCGCTCAAGGCTGGCGACCCTCCATCCGGCGTTGTCCAGGGCCGGCGACCTCAGATCCGACGAGATCTAGGTCAGAAATCAGTGTTGTCTGACCATTAATTCACTCGCCTCAGATCTCTAGTGTGTTTTCGATGTATTGAAACCCAGAAATCGATGTTATCAAGGGAGTTTCTGAGGCCGAGGGTTGTGTGGAAGTGATATTTGGCTGCTGAAAGTGACATTTGGATGTGGGGTAGTTGATTTATGAGGCTTGATTGTTATATATTATTATATGATGTTACGAAGGGTTAAATGGTGTTCAATTGTATGGATAGAGTTCGAGTTTATTGGTTGAATTAGAGTAGCTGAATTTGGAACGACTGAATTAGTGTGGTTGAATTGAATTGATTGAATTAGTTGGAATGACATGTGGGGTTACTGAGATTTGCGGATACTTGCAGAAGTTATATAATAAGTGGGGTGTGTTATTTATTACATACGCGGGTTAAGTTTCCAGTGATTAGTGGTTTGTGAGGATGTCTACTGGTTCATCTAATTCACCTTCTATTACTTCGGGGTTGGGCTCCTCTAGTACTTCTTCAAGTTCAATATCTTTTGGTTCATATTATAGTATGACTAATCTGCACAATACCTTGGTCAAGTTGGACGGTACCAATTACCCTTCTTGGTCGATGGCTCTTTCGACTTTTATTTATTCTAATCGCCAGTCTAGATGGCTTGAAGAAAAACCACCTGCAGATTCAACTAGTCTAGAAGAATGGAAGTACGTAGATGCTACTTTGCGTACACTTTTATGGGGAAGTATGGCTGAATCTATTCGTCATCTTTTCATGGATTGCACTATAGCCCGTGAGATATGGACAAAGTGTGCTTTACTGTATTCTGGACAGAATAACATGAGTCAAGTTTGTGACATGTGGGAGGCTTTATTTGAAGCTAAAATTGGTGATGCTAGTTTGGCAGAACATTATTGCTCGTTTTGCATCTTTGTATCAGCGCCTCAAGTCTTATTTTCCACTTGCTACCATAGTTACTCAGATGCAACAACGAGAAGCGGACATGATAACCGTGCTCTTTCTTCGTAGCCTTGGTCCAGATCATAGTGCTCTTCGTCAACAGATTACCTCTCAGAGCACTCTTCCTTTCATTGAAGAAGTGTATTCTCGAGCTGCTCGTTACACTTCTGGTCCCAAGACTTCAGCAATTTCAGATAGTAGTGCTATGGTGGCTCGTGGAGGTCAAGGGACTCGTGGTCGTATTAACGGCCGTGGACAATGGAATTCTGATAGTTCTTACCGTGGTCGTGGTCGTGGTTTTCAAGGCCGAGGTACCGCTCGTGGTGGTGGTAGTAATACTTCTAGAGGAGCACGTGGTGGTGGTCGAGCGAACCGTTTTTGTACTCATTGCCAGCTTTCTGGGCACACTGTTGATTATTGTTATGACCTCCATCCTAAACTGCGGGGTCTACATGCTTCTATTGATACTGAGCCTTGGACTCCTTCCCTTGGATCTTCTTCTGGACAGGGTACAGTACAGTTGACTCGTGCAGAATATGATGAGTTGGTCAGAGCACAACAATGTGAGAATGGTGCTATCTCTGGTCCTACTGCTACTTTAGCACAGCGTAATGATCCTACATGTCTATTGTCCAGTACAGCTCCTCGTTCTTGGGTTATTGATTCGGGTGCCGCTCATCATATGACTGGTGATCCTCGTCTTCTCACATCCACCTCATTTGTTCCTTCTATGTCAGTCACCTTAGCAGATGGTTCTCAATCCAAAGTTACTGGTACAGGTTGTGTATCATTGAGTTCCTGTCTCCTTACCTTTTGTTTACCATATTCCACACTTTCCTTACAATCTATTATCAGTCAGTTCTATTAGTCGTGATCTTGATTGCGATATTATCTTTTCTTCGTCTTCGTGTGTTCTTCAGGATCGGAAGACTAGACGCCGAATAAGTGGTGGGCGTGAAGCTGGTGGATTGTACATCCTGGAACCTGAGATTATTGCTGCTGCTACAACAGTTCAGAATAAAGCTGTGGATGATCCTTATCGATTACATTGTTGTCTTGGTCATCCATCAGCAAACGTACTCCGACGATTTCCTTTCGTGTCTAGTTCAAGTCTTCAGTTTAATTGTGAAACGTGTCAGTTAGGTAAACACCATCGTGAGTCTTTCTCTCCTCGTGTTTTGAGTCGTGCGTCACATCCATTCGAGTTAATTCACTCCGATGTGTGGGGTCCTAGTCGAGAGTCTTCATTTGGTTTTCGTTATTTTGTCACTTTTATTGATGATTGTACTCGTACAACTTGGTTATATTTAATAAAAGATCGTACTGAAGTTTTTCATTCTTTCTGCCAGTTTTATCATGAAGTACGTACGCAGTATGATTGTTCTATTAAGTGTTTGCATACTGACAATGCTCGTGAGTATTTTTCTTCATCTACCTTTATTCCGTTTCTCAAATCTCATGGTATTTTACATCAGAGTTCTTGCGCTCACACTCCGCAATAAAATGGAGTTGCTGAACGTAAGAACTGTCATTTGTTGGATGTTGCTCGTTGTCTTCTTCTTCACACTCATATACCTAAATCATTCTGGAGCTATGCTCTACTTACAGCATGTCATCTTATTAATCGTCTTCCGTCCTCCGTGCTGAAAGGAGCTATTCCTTATGCTCTTCTTCATCCTGATCATTCTTTATGGTCTGTTCGCCCTCGTATCTTTGGATGTGTCTGTTTTGTTCATTATTTGTCTCCTGGATTAGACAAATTATCACCTCGTGCTGAAAAATGTATATTCGTTGGTTACTCCTGTACTCAAAACGGATATGTTTGTTATAATCCTACTCGTCGTCGGGAGTATGTTTCTGCTGATGTGACTTTCTTTGAGGATAAAGCATTCTTTGGCGATGATCGTCCTCAAGCACCATTAACCTTGGACCTTCTGCCACCCTCTGCACCTACATCTCAGCCGGAGCCATCGTTTGTTACTTCTGATGCTGCTCCACCGGATCCAGGTTCACCAGCACCGACCCCTCTTCAGGTCTATACACGTGGTTCTCGTTCTGTTCGGGGTAATACATCTTCACCAGCAAGCGTTCCACCACCACCAACTTCGGTCCAGGGCTTCCGATCCTCTTCCACCGTCTCCTGACAGTTCTCCTATTGCTCACCGTACTCGATCTCGGTATCCTCTTTCTAATTTTGTGTCTTATCATAACTTAAGCCATCAGATGTCTGCCTTTGTGTCATCTCTTGCTTCTATGTCTGTGCCTAGTAGTGTCCAGGAAGCTTTGGCCCATCCAGGGTGGGCTCGCGCTATGGAGAAGGAGATGGCTGCTTTACATCATAATAAGACTTGGGAGCTCGTTCCCTTACCGGCTCATAAACAATTGGTAGGTTGTCGCTGGGTCTTTGTTGTCAAACACCATCCGGATGGTTCAGTTGAGCGCTTAAAGGCGCATCTTGTGGCAAAGGGCTATACTCAAACTTATGGTATTGACTATGATGAAACTTTTTCTCCGGTAGCCAAAATTCCTTCTGTTCGTATCATTATTTCCTTGGCTGCTCGGTCTCAGTGGACTCTTCATCAGCTTGATGTCAAAAATGCCTTCATGGTGATCTTCACGAGGAAGTATATATGGAACAACCACCTGGGTTTGTTGATCAGGGGGAGAAGGTGTGCCGATTGCGAAAAGCTCTTTATGGGCTTAAGCAATCTCCTCGTGCTTGGTTTGGCCAGTTCAATGATGCGGTTATTACTTTTGGCATGCATCGGTGTAGTGTGGATCACTCAGTATTTAGTATGTCATCTTCAAAAGGATGTGTTTATGTTGATGATATCATTGTCACAGGCAGAGATGTTGAAGGCATACGATGACTCAAGCAGTTTCTTCAAAAGGAGTTTAACACTAAAGACCTAGGTCGTCTGCGATATTTTCTTGGCATTGAAGTTGCATATGCCAATGGTAGCATTGCTCTCTCCCAGCGAAAGTATGCTCTTGACATTCTTAAGGAGGTTGGCTTACATGATTCTAAGCCTGGTGACACACCTATGGATCCTGGAGTGAGGCTTGACAATGAACAGAGAGAACTTCTTCATGATCCAGAGAAGTATCGTCGATTAGTAGGCAAGTTAAATTATCTTACCATTACCCGTCCGGATATTTCATTTGCTATTAGTGTGGTGAGTCAGTTTATGAGCTCTCCTCGTACTAATCATTGGTAAGCTGCTCTACAAATTGTTCGATATTTGAAGAGAGCTCCAGGTCAAGGACTTGTGTTCCATAATCAAGGTCATCTTCGTATAGCTGGTTATTCCAACCCTGAATCTTTGGAGGTGATAGGATATTCTGATGCAGATTGGGCTGGTTGCCCTATGGATCGCCGGTCTACTTAGGGATACTGTGTATTTCTTGGTGGTAATCTTGTGTTGTGGAAAAGTAAGAAACAGTCTATTATTTCCCGATCTAGTGCAGAGGCCGAGTATCATGCTATGGCTAATGTTACCAGTGAACTTCAATGGGTTCGTATGTTGTTAGCTGAGATTGGACTACCTATGACCGGATCATCTATTATGTGCTGTGATAATCAATCTGCTATTCATATTGCTAGCAATCTAGTGTTTAATGAGAGAACGAAGCATATAGAGGTGGATTGTCATTTTGTTCGAGAAAAGGTGAACTGTGAAGACATACGGTTGGTACACACACGTTCTGAAGAGCAACTAGCAGACATTTTCACAAAGCCTCTTCGACGTGGACGAGTTTCATATATTTGTCATAAGTTATGACTTTTTGATATGTACACTCCAACTTGAGGGGGAGTGTTGGGTTTATTACTTTAGAGTATTAGCAAGTTGGGGGTATTTGTGTAAATGTATTAGGCTTAATCCTAAGTCTATAAATACTCTTTGTTATCTCTGAAATAAAGTTAAGTTACTCTTTTATCATTAACAAAGAGAATTGGCTTCTGATGCCGTTATACCTCCACAGCATTTGAAACCCTTTGATCCAGAATTCCCAATACTGCAAGAATAACAAGAAAAAAAGTTAGAAACATTCATAAATCAGGCAGATGCATCCCAGAATGCTTTTGACTCATAATCAGATTATGAATCGAAACATAACTGTAAATTTCAAGCTCTAAAAGTATTGAGTTTTCATGGATTTTTTTTTGCCCTGAACTTTTTGCTTAGATGCATCCTTGGTACATCTCTTGCTTCTTCCCCCAGTACTTGAGCTTGTTCTCTCAAAACTAACAATTTGAACAGAAAAACAATGTCCGTAATCTAGATTAGCAACTTCATGTACTGCTCAAATCACAATGAAACAGATCCTGTTTCACTACGTTTTAACTTTTATTTCAACAAAGTCAGAGCAAAAAATTGATTAGTTCTGATCAAGCTTAGGAAACATGAAATGTTAGCTCATAACAATGTCAGACAGTTGAAATATCATACTGGAAACACAAGCCATACACCACAGTTTAGCAGGCACATGCTCTCATGTATGCAAGAAGAGACAATAGCAACTATTAAACAAGAAAAGAGATTTCTTTATCAAGCACATTGCCCATGGCATATCAGAAAGCATAAATTTTTCCTCAGAGTTAAAATATCATACTTCTTTGAAGATACTATACATCTCGATTTAAACGTGCTAACATTAAAGACATCAAAGAATCTCACTGCAGTGAAAAAGGTCAGGAAGAAGAGATGAAGAAACAGGGGAGAGGGAAAAGGAAAAACAGAAACTAATGTTAGCTTAACTTGTGGCACTTCCCAGAACGGTAAATTTTTTAGGGCAAACAAAGAATACAGAAATGTCTAACAAGTCACCGAGAATTTAAGAAAAAGGAAACAAAGCAGGAAAAGAAAGAATAAATATAAACTTGACTTCTTAATGCTTCCAGATACACCATTTTCTTCCATTTAGACTGAGGAAAGGACAGAAAAGATGGAAAATTAGTTCCATAAACCTCCATTTATTTTCGTGGTTATGTGTTGCAATATCCGACATGGCAACAACATACAGAATCACTACAAACCCACATCCATCAGTCATCAACATAAGGAATCATAAACCTTCAGTAAGCTTTAGTTGTCAATTGTCTTTTTTTTTTTATAACCAAAGCTTTAGTTGTCAATTGTCATATGCCACAATTTCAAAGTAATGCTATGTAAATACAAAACCAGCAGCAAAAGCAAGTTCATAAACTGACCTAATGTGTGCCTCAGAGCTACTTGAATGCAACGACATTATTGAGCCACAGCCTCCAAATTTATCATTTGCACAGCCATAATATACTTCCTTTAAACCTAAAAAGGGAGAGAGTCATCTAATCATAAATAAACAAATTTTAGGAAAGTTCAGTTTTATTTCAGTAGGATCAACGGATGTACCAATGATCGATAATGCTGCTGCACACATTTTGCATGGTTCACATGTCACATAAAGGGTGCATGCTGAAAACTTCTCTGCAACTTCTGCAGCCGAAAATCCAGTCCTCTGCCACCGTACAAGAAGAACATCAAGAGCTTCCATCTCTGCATGTCTCGTTGCCCATGAAAGCCCAAAGGGAAAAACGAAGCAAGCATATCATACTTGGGAGCTTTGTCATGAGAAATATTTCTCCCTCAAGTTAACTGATTAAGAGTATATATAAGATTGATCAAGGCATATACTACATGAAGTCAAAAAGTTTTACTCACTTGAAGTTGCTGAGAATCTCACTAGGAAAAAGAGGCTTCTTATTGGAATAGCCACCTCCACCTTTTTTAACAGTATTTTTTTAATATACCCCTGTAGCAAGGTGCCTTTGTTTTTTTATTAATCTCCACAAGATACTAAAAGGGCCAAATATTTTTCACATCAACTATTCATTGCTATCCATAAAATCATTTATAGTAATGTATTGCCACCTGATGACTATAAATGATTACAGAAATAGACTATTAGATAAGAGATGATCCCTACCAGAAACCAGACTTAAACTAGTTGTGTAAATGGTCATTGTATGAAGAACTGTGCCCAAGTAGCAGGTTCTTACAACTTAAAAGGCAATACAATGGTCACAATGCATTTTTAGACTATTTAAGTATACCAAAAGTCTAGCTAAATACAGTCTAAGAGAACAATTTTAGGAACTTCACAAAAGCAGATAAAAATATGGTTCCAGACAGACCACAATGGTAAACGAAAAACGTAAAACATTGTGCATAATAACGCAAGATTATTGTTATTGTTAGCCGTAGCCATATTTTATGAAGAGCAATGGGAATAAAGCCCCTTACAGCCTAATAATGCATGGAAAATTCCACTTTTAAACAGATTTGATCAGATATATTATTTTATTATCTAATAAATACATATTAACGGAGAAACATGAAATGATCAACAATAAACTACGAGTGGATGATTCGAAGGTATTAATTCGGAACAATAACAAAGTGCAGTTGGCCAAAATTTATAGAAGGGGGTGGAGAAGCAATGATAAACATACATTCCATGTCTTGTTAGTCCGGTTTCTTTCTGCCGCAATACCGTTCCCATCCTCAATAATCACACAGCTGTTCAATCAAAGAGTCCAATCTGAAATCATTCACTAATAAGACTGAAATACTAATCATATTAATTAGAAAATGAAGTAACATATATGAAATGCACCTAGTTACAGACAATCAGTATCTTACCCAACTGGAACTTCAAGGCTGTCCAATGGAAGCTTTGCCTTATATAAGAAAAGCAAATAGATCTTGTTACTTGTTAGGAGAAAAATTATAAGAATAAGAGTCAGAAATTCTTTCATGCATGCATGCATGCATAAAGCCAAATTCAAGAGGAAATCAGCATCACGTTGCCAGCAGTAGTAATATTTCAGTATCAATATACAGTTACTAATGGAACAAATGCATGTCCCATACTTATATGATCAAGATCTTGCAGGTCCTGTACAATATACTGGTCACTAACTTCCAAGCAATGATTATCACCCCGTACTCATCCAGTAATACAGATGCAAATCCTACCTAACGGTTAAACTGATATGGCTCTAACAACAGTACAGCTAAAACAAGAACAAATTTGAGAAACTACATGTTGTTGATTCTAGTGTGTCCTATCATGGGTACCTCAGAAGCTTTTCTTTCCATTAATGAGGTTTCACTCAAACATTCAAGAAGCTTCCTTGAGTTTTAGCTTCTGGGCCATTTTCCTTCACAAATATTATGGCACATGACGAGAAAGAGAGATCCATAAAACCGTTGTGAAGCCCTCAGAAATCATAATTGGCAATCAGCTTTTGTGATTTTGCCTCTATTCTACTGAATAACTTATGTAAACTCTGTTTTTCTCTTTTTCTTTTACATATACACAGGCCACAAGGCCCAAGAAAAAACCTAACCAGTTATCCATGGGCACAACCGATGTTCATATTATGCTCACACTCCAAGTAAATTTCGTTTTCAATTCTCCCTAGGTGCCAAAGTCTACAAGTGGCAAAAGGACTTGACTGTCAAGCAACCTCTCCCTGTGGCTTGCCATCTAATTGCACCTTCTTCATTCCTCTATGGTTTTGCCTCTTCAAGCGCCTCATGAAACTTGGCGACAGAGTGCTATCTTAGTGATCAAAGTTTCTCATAATTCAATTGTCCTGGCAAACCTATCACCCACTGCACATCTTTATGATAGGCACATACTACACATCCACATTTCCTAGACACCTCAAAAGCACCCTGTGGCTTGCCGAATTGCACCTTCTTCATTCCTCTATGGTTTTGCCTCTTCAAGCGCCTCATGAAACTTGGCAACAGAGTCCTATCCCAGCGGTCAAAGTTTCTCATAATTCAATTGTCCGGGAAAACCTATCACCCACCGCACATCTTTATGATAGGCACATACTACACATCCACATTTCCTAGACACCTCAAAAGCACCTTGTGGCTTGCCGTCTCATTGCACCTTCTTCATCCCTCTATGGTTTTGCCTCTTCAAGCGCCTAATGAAACTCGGCGACAGAGTCCTATCCCAGTGGTCAAAGTTTCTCATAATTCAATTGTCCTGGCAAACCTATCACCCACTGCACATCTTTATGATAGGCACATACTACACATCCACATTTCCTAGACACCTCAAAAGCACCCTCTCTCTCTCTCTCTCTCTCTCTCTCTCTCTCTCTCTCTCTCTCTCTCTCTCTCTCTCTCTCTCTCTCTCTCTCTCTCTCTCTCTCTCTCTCTCTCTCTCTCTCTCTCTCTCCCAACCTACAGCACCCGGATTGGCTTAGTTTTTCATCTGAGAAAGGGGCTGAACCAACCCATGTACACCCTACTTCCCTTTGTTTCACTCTCCCTCATTTGTTTTCCCTTTGAACCTAGACTTCACCTACTTCTTTCAATAAATTGCCACCTACAGAAACGAAGAAATAAAAGCTATACCTTCTAGAAATTGTTGCTGATTTTGCAGCGTGTAGTGTCGATTACCAACGGATTCACTATGAAGCATCCACAGACAACACTTATGAAGAAACACTTATTCAATGTCTCTTGTACAAAAGTCAACTATACATTCTTCAAATTCCCGCGCAATTATAGCACCAAACGAATCGTTCACATTTCAGCCCAAGTATCACATCAACTTAATACAATTCGGCTGTGCCAGGCATTACCTGATCTATAGCAAGCTGCATAAAACCCAGAACCTCAGGAGAGAATTGTTCACCCGAATCTACGTTATCAGTTTCCATGGCTTTGGTTGGTGGTGGTAGTGCGTCGCCTCCCCTTGCCAGTCTCAGTCACCTTCAGTAGCTAGGCTGTTTTAGGAAGAAGAACTTCTTCTGTTTGTCACCTCCATCGGCAGGTGGCAATCTTCCACTCATCACAGCTCGCTGGTGTCGGATGAAAGATGAGCAGTCGTGGTATTGTAGGTGGTGTCGATGGTGAAGTTTGCCTATGGTGAAGGAAAGGAAGGAGCTTATAATAGGAAATCAAAGAAAGAAGGTGGAGAGAAAGAATTAAAAACAAAGAAAAAGAATAAATAGAAGAAAAAATTACAGAAATTTATTTTAGGATATATAGTTAACCGGGTTAACGGGGATTTAGTGAAAAGAAAAAAAAGGTTAAAGGGGATGCATGCGTGCATAATTAGGTGGTCATGCATAGATGAAAATTGGTAATTATTTATGAAGTATGTGATTCTGAAAGACCAATTATATTTCTGCCATGATCAAAGGGTAGTTTGGAAAGACAGGCTCTTTTTGTTTAAAGGAAAATAGTTTACTAGAAAACTTCTTTTTCCATTTTTCAAAGTGTTTGGTATGGGAAAATAAGTAGGTCAAAGAAAAATGACTTCAGTTGACCAAAAAATACCAAGCTTAAAAATAAGGAAAATGACTTCTTAATTTTATAGGTAGAAGTCATTTTCCAAAAAAGTATGTAGGACTATCCTTACCAAAGTGTTTTGATAGATGACCAGGTAAAACAAGGATTCTTTTGAGCACATGCCCTCGAGTGAGCACGCATGTTCACTAGGAGACCATAGAATTCTCTGGACAACACTAGCATAAACTGCTCAAATGGGAAAATTGTGGTTCAATGTGATTCACAGCCTGATATAAAGTATAGTTGATGCACCAACCTAGCAGTATGTCGTCACACACCAATACAAAAATTGATCATGGACTCAGAGGTCCACAGCTTGACAAGCCCTCCCACAAATTGAGTTCAGACCAGGAATAAAGCAGGACACTGTGCAACACCAGTGTAGGTACAGAATCTGTAATTCTCCGCTCGTTCAAGGTCCTCTCCACATCATCTCTAATACACTGTCGTCATCTCTAGTATCCATTCACAAAAGATGATTATTCAGTGAGATATTCAACTCAATTTTCTCTGGGGAATTTTAACGAACACCTAGCGGGCCAATCATAGCAGCCACTACAATTACATATACCTCCAAATTCTAGCCATCTCCATAGAATCAATCCCATTACGCAAATCTAAACACCCCCCAAACATCATCAACTCAAAATCATCATATAAAAAGGGCCTAAGAAACTCGGACATGTGGTGGGTCACCGAGATCAGAATAACAAAGAAGAAGAAGAAGAAGAAAAACCACGAAGGGATTCGAGCCAAGGACGCACACCGCAGAGAGAGTCGCACTAAGAAAGGGAGACGGAAGAGGAGGACACACACCTTCAACAATTTTTGAGGTAAATACACTCTACAATTTCTTTTTTCTTGGATTAATATACCAGCAAAAATTTTAAACTATGCCTACCATAATACCGACTTTTTCCCGCGTTACTAATAATCCTTAAATTATAAACCGTGGCTAGCTGAGGTTCCGACCTCTCAGATTCGAGGTTGCGAGACCTCGGGACTCGAGGCGGAAACCTCAAGGGGAGGTCGCGGAGGTTTGGGGATAGGGAGAGAGATGGTCGCAAGCCCCTGTGCGGCGGACGACAACAACGGCACGGCGATGGCCTCGTAGCATTAACAGGCGGGAGCGATGGGGCGTTGTACGGTTTGGACGACGGCTGAGCATGGAAGAGGATGGAAGGGAAAAAAATAAATAATAAGAAACATTTTAAGATAATAAAAAAAATTAATCCATTTTAAATTGAGTTGGCACTCCTATATATAGCAATGTGCATCATTCTTTTCTGAGTAAACAAGTCACCATGTTGAGCTATATTTTGATAGTTCAGGTACTCAATTGGAAAAGAAAAAGTCGCGGTACTTGTACGTAATAAAACGGACGGAAATTTATTGTAGTGTGATTACCCTTAAAAAAAATCTGATAATAATGAAATTTTTATGTTCTTCCAAATTGGTTTTATATTTACTTTCCAATTTCAACTAGTTCCTATTGATTTATCGATGATTGTAATACATATTCCATGAAACAAAAAGCAAGTTGAAAACAATGACGAGTGGGAAGACTACTGTTCTTGTGCTCCCAGGGTAACAAAGGTCCGTGTTCTCTCTGCCAAGCCAGTTACTCCTAGCGCTGCAAGCAACAACAAAAACATCAACCTCTCGCTCCCATAGTGAGTCATTCCTTCACCTGCAGCTTCCCCAACCGGAAGTGGTTGTTCACGTCAGGTAAGAGAACTCTCATGGGAGATATTCGGAGAAACTCTCAAGCAGCACTTGCCCATGCCTCTGTCACAGAGGTTGACTGCCACTGCGATTTGGGCCTATAGGTAATTCCATAGGGTATATACGCAAAAATGAAGTCAAGAGAGATATACCTCCATGAACTAGTGGAACAATAATAGAAGAAAATAAACAGTGTAAAACATATATCAAAGAACATCAACCACAGACACAGCCAAGGTTGTTGCATCTCACAAAGAAAATCTTCTACACGTACCTCACAAAGAACATGCTTCTCGTTCTATTTCTTGCAGAGTAGAGGCCACGAGTGAAAATAGCCGAATCACTCTCCAGTGAAACCTCTTTTATCATTTCTACACTGCAAAAGACAAAATAAATCTATATGACTTTTCTGTGAAGACTTCATTGAAAGAGTGGGAGTGAAGAAAGACATCACATAGCCCTACCCATATGCTATGTTATAAACATCTGATACAAGCTAGCAAGTAATGAATATTAAGAAAGCTTTATTGGGAATCAAATCACAACGTGACACGGCTCTAAAGGATGACGAGTCTAGACCTCTTGGATATCAATCATATTCACATGTAAACAAATGACATCTCTGTTTTACCCTACATATTACAACAGTACTTTCTAACAGTCAAAGAATTACAACATTCATGACCAGATGTCAAAAGAGTCAGTTCTTCAAAGTTTATACCTATAACCTCGAAACAAAACTAGTTCTTCAAATGAGGCCAGATGGAATTCATGCTTTCTAAACATAACAGCAAGATGAAAAGTAACTCAAGGGCAAGGAGTGTTAGCATTTCGTGTCCAGAGTAAAACAGAAGAAGAAAAATTCTAACCAGTTTATGCAGACATTTTGGGAGACAACTCTCCAGTCTTGACATAATGTGCAAGTTTAGGGAGGCCACAGAACATGAGTAGTCGGACAAAAAACCATAATCTTCTCTTAATGCACACCCAGCTTCTAATGTAACTTCCATTTGTGGAAAGTGTTAAGCTTGGTAAGCACAACCTGAAACCTACAGCAAGCAAACTAAGTTCAAGTATGCATCGTCAGGACTGTGAATTAAAATGTACTCTAAGGTCCAACTTTCATCCATAGAAAAAAGGAATCCCTACAAGGTAGTGCTAGAATATTACTGGTAGAGGTATTGTGAAATTCATCTTCAATACGAACAAGACTAGTTCTCCATTGTGGTCAGGAAGACTCAGGCAATTGCGAGCCCAAGCCACATATTAGCAAGACGCGAGAAAATATATGGCACAAGAGTTATGGATTTCAACCCCACACAACACAAAATAATCCACAGGAAAGGCAAAAGAACTCTTAGGGAGACAGACCTCTTAGGATAGTGAAAACTGCAATATGAAGAGTTGACTAATCACTATTAAAAGAAATAGTTTCCACTTCTCGTGCAATACATTAGCGAGCATTGACAACTGATCAACTGTGCTAGACCATTAAGATTTTATTGTGCTTTATGACTACCGGTTTCTAACACTAACATCGGCTCAACTTGAATAAGACAAAGAACATGAGAGTACTAACTTTGGCACCACAATTAAACTAACCTCACTTGCTACTGTCGATTTGTTGAAGAGATCCAGCAAATTTGTTGAAATTGAATTTCATCCAGAGATGGAAGAAGCTTTTGTTATATCTCATAGACCTAATAAAGAGGCGAAGAGGCTCTAAGAATTTAATAGAGGGCCGGAGGAGAAGAGTTGATGGGACATTTCAGAAAAGGACCAACTTTCAATTCCAATCGAAAAAGAGGAGGCAGGGCAGGAACCTTTTTTTTGTTTGGGTGGGTTTCTTTTCTTTTCTTTTATGGGATAATGACACAAACGATTCCTAAATTTTGGCTCAATATATAATTTGGTCCATAAACTTTTAATTTGTTCAATGTAGTCTCTGAACATTAACCTAATGTGCAATGTAGTCCTCGAACTTTTAATTTATTCAATGTCATCCCTGAACTTTTGGTACATGTTCAATTCAGTCCCTGAACTTGAATTAATGGAAAAGACTGCTCAAGTTCAGGGACTGAATTGAACATGTACCAAAAGTTCAAGAATGACATTGAACAAATTAAAAGTTCGGGGATCACATTGCACTTTGAATTAAAATTCAAGAATTATATTAAAAAATTAAAAACTCAGGGACCAAATTACATATTGAGCTAAAGTTCATGGACTGTTTGTGTCATTTTTCCTTCTTTTATCAAGCAGTACTTCCTTCTCTCTGAACGTCCCAAATTCTAATAGATTTTTTTTTGGTCGAAATACAAATTCTATTAGATGGAAAGTATCTATTTCCAATGCTCTGGGTTTTTTCACTTGATCTAATTCTGCGGAAGGGATACCCTACGTGTGAATAGATTCTTTTTTTCTGGTGAGACCAAAGCTATAAGCTAAGTGACAGAAATCCCTGAATGGAGCCAATGGATGGCAATGCCATCCAAAGCAAGATTTCCTCCCAGGTCTCCAACTTTCCACAAGCTCATACAGCTGAGAAATACTTGAACTCCCTTACCCTCCTAAACTAACCAAAGCTGATAAAAAAGCCATGGATTCCACATGAATTCACTGTCTATTACGTCAACAATAAAAGTAAGCCCATATTGAATAGTGCTCGTGTAGCTGCTCTACTATCATCAATGCTTAACACAATGAGCAAACTCAGGATGCTAACAGGTTCATGACAGGAGAAATAACCTCACGCCCTTGCTACCAATAATCCCCACGAGCAAATGCCACCTGAAGTGATGAAAGTGGCTGGAATCTCTCACAACGATCTCACGATCAACAATCTTTGCAATAAGTTTAATTGGGAATGACAATCTCCGCAAATGCGAAGATTCTTCATTACAGTTATCGTACTACACTTGATGGTAGTAATCATATGCGAATCATTTACCTCTTTTACAATCATCAAGGATTGCACCTGATATAGTCCAGAACTACGAAACTCGGACACATCAATAGCACGCCTAAATTTGCCTCAAAGTTCAAAAAACTCATAACAAATATCAAGCCAGATTACATATTATGTTGGTGACATAAATTAGCATCAGAAAAGCGATGCCTAGACAGGGTTATGCCATAAATTATCTTAACAATCTGATAATCAAATTAAAAGCATGAAATGGGCTTGTGATCACAGCTGCAACCCTCAATAAAGACATAAACATCCGGAAAAGACCTGATCTGGACATTCATCATGCTTCCTTTCTCGGTCCCTTGATGAAATTCTGTGTTTGGAAAAGCAGTAAATGGCACATGGATTGTCAGTCAGAGTACACTGAATCATTTGAAGACAATTTATGGATTGCTACATGATTAACTACATCCTCTTACTAAAGAATAGAATGCTAATCATCGTCAATAACATTCATACATATCTTTATCCATAAGGCGCTGTCTGAACAAATTATGGTTATGAAATGTTTTAACTTCTTGAGACAAAATAATTAGCATTAACGGTTTCTGCCGTCACAGAAACAGGAGAGAATCTCATTATGCTAGAATCACCACCAATGATGTCACATACCTATTTGCACTCTACATGCAGTACAAAGAGTCAGAATACTATAGTTCAATTAGTTTGCGATGAATTCACCACAAGAATGGGAACTCCCTTGAACTGCAAGTTTGACTTAGGTTATAGTCAAATGAAGAGATTAACTAACAGGAAGTGGGCTGGTTTGGCCTTGAATAGGAGATTACAAAGGAGTTGGGGGCTATCACCTTCCATTTTTTCTTAATTGGGCTGGTTTGGCCTTCCTTCGTATAGCTTTTCCTTGCTTCCTTTATCTTTTTGTGGTTGAGCTTTCCGTGTTCCCTTGGATTTGTATAGTCCCTTTGGAACTTGGTTAGTCTCTTGCTTTCCTTTGTATTTGGTGATTTGAAAGTAATATATACCTTACCCTTACCAAAAAAAAAAAAAAACTAACAGGAATAAGAACAATGAACAATATGATCAGAATAAACCAAGAATCAGGAATGAAGACCAAGGATATCGCCTAACTTCATCTTGAAGACCTCTATAGTGTCCTCGTTGTGATTGACTACCATCATGCAAGGAAATCTACAGCTATACGTATACTCAATCTTAGCATGAGCATCATATCATAGTGCCACAGCAAGAAACATTGCCATAGAGCCCTAACACATGCCATTACGTTGTTAACAGGCTATAGTATAGAAAGGTCACACCATGCAGCTGTCTTGTAATATGCACAAGCAACTGATTATTCAATATGCATCAGAGGTGCATCATCATACTGTAGATGCTGTACATGATGTCAAGAAAGCAAGGAATCATAAGTTCAAAGGTCTTACCAAGTTGTGCACGGGCATGAGAGGACTCACAGAAAGAATCAATGCATGCAGATCCAATGAGAAGCCTGAGTAACCCATGGCCTGTGAGGCTTTGGAGCTGAAAACCAAACGTTAGCATTTAGAATACATATAATACCTTAACAAATCATAGATTCCACAATGTCATAAACAGCAAATGAATGGAAAAAGGAGGGGGTCAAAAAGGCAAAGAGAAATGATATTCATGTAATAGGGTTCTACTAAACAGGGAAGAAACAGGCACCAAATTGACTTTATCATTCTGAAGACAAATTATTTCAAGACCATCTTTTCTGTATGTAATGAGTTTCCAAAGCGTATTAATTATCTAAGAGGTATGAAAAGGTCATGGTCTAATCAATCTCTTGATATATTTGTAACTGAAGAGCTAAAATTGGAGAATTGCTAGATCAAAAAGCATATAAATTGAAATATATCTTTAGTAATTCACAATAGGGATCAAGGAAGAAGATATTTCTCTCTAATGAGTCTAACCAATGGAATATCTACGATTAAGACACTACTTGTCATTTTCCTTAACCAAGGACATGACTTCCCATTTCTCAAATGGCAATCTACGAATACCCAGTCTAGAGGACAACTACATATGATAAACAGGACATCTGAAAACTGGCCAAAGGAAAAGACAGGCATCAGAAGCTCTACCTTTTGTTTACCAGGCAAATTCTACACCTATTCATAGCAACCATTATATGGCTGAGCACCGCTCCACTCAAGCAACCATACATAGTATCAGTCTTGTTTAACTGTAGCCACCATCTCAAGATAGGCACCACATCCTTGACGAAGAAAACTTCTGAATGGATTCTTATCCAACAAATGACCCACTATTTCTATGGTTGCAATTCCATTAACCCTTTGTCATTACAAAACATTCCACTGGGCCAACTTTATAGGTATTCTCCTTTGTCGTCTCAGGTCATATGCATTTGCAAGGGAGTCAAATGGCGTATCTGTATCTAAGCATTCGGACACGCCATTGCATATGTTTTGGGAAGGTTCAACACTAATCCTCTTTGACGATATATCCGGAATTTGCATAGACATCCCTCCTGTGTTGATATCGATATCCAATTTAACATCATCTTCAGCCACCAACAACTCTGACAAAGGACTTACGTCCTCATAGCACATATTCTTCTTAGTTTTGGCCTCTTTTTGCTTCCTCGGCCTCTTTTTGCTTCCTCAGCCTCTTCCTCTTTTCCTTATCCTTTGCCTTCCGCTGAATGGTCGGGCAATATATCCCCTTACCTTTTGCCTCTTTTATGTTCCTCTTCCTCTGCATTTTCTTCTCTTTTCTCTTCTGCTGCAATGTTAAGGAGTTTGTTTCACCAGTTGATTGGATTTGCTGGGGAGCCAATGACTGAGTGAAAGTTTGAGTGAAAGTTTTCGCAGGAAATGAAGTAATGAGGCCTGAATTTTGATTGAAGAGTGGACAATTAGGCTGCTGAGGCTGCGAATTGATTGGGCGTGGGGGCCAGTATGTGGGGGGAGGAGGAAGTGAGGGAGTTGGAAAGAGGTGGGACTTTTGGATTCCATGCAAAGAATAATGCTCTTGATAATTGAGATATGGGACACTAGGAGGAGCCTTTGGACCATTATTCCCATTATCATGACCATACATCCTAATAAGTTGCCGCAAGTTGGAAGTTGGAGGAGGGAAGGCAGCTGGCGCCTCAGCCTCAAGACCTTGACGGGTCCAATTACCGTAGTTCCTCTGAGAATACATACCGGTTGGGTAATCTCTGGTCCGAACCTTCAAAGATCAAATCATAAAGTTAAAATCAAAGGCCCAAAACGAAATGCTTAATTGTCTTAATAGAGCAAGTTCAGAAAGCAAAGGCGAACTCATGTAATAAACACTACTGGCAGTGGCAGAACAAGTCGAACACGTGGAGTATTACATTTCAGAGCAAGAAATAACTCTCAAAATCTAAACCTAGCTTCCGCTCACCGAGTTCACCTCCTGATTAAGCTTCATTCTCAATTTTAATAGCAAATGACTAGGGGATGATCGGCCTATCCTGTTTTGGAACCGGGAACCAAACGAACCTGCTAGTTCCCAATTCCACCCAAGAACTGGCCACTTCTTATTTTATTTTCTTATTGTTTTAATTACATTTTTCTGTTTGTTTCATTGCAGCTCGGTTTTGCTAGAATATGCAGCAAACCATTTCGAGCATACGGCCAAAATGCATATTTGACACCCCGTAAGTTAGAATCTTTTCTCTCGAACGTCTCCTTTTTGCTTCGCCGGAGGAATGTCCTCCGACCATCAATCACACATCTGGCCCCCGAAACAACGCTACCTACTTTGACCGTCATCGGACCGCCGGCCGCCTATCTCGGTCACCGTTTTGGCCATTAAAACTTAAAACCGACAACCAAATCTCGTTTTCCGGCTACCAAACTTCCGGCCCAAAGAAGACGCGCTAAATCTAATCAACCAAACATACAAGACAAGAAACCGAGATAGTGAACTAACGGACCGGCCTCAAACCGCGGGCCTCTCGGATGGGTAAAGGATTCTCCGGGCGACTCTGACCTCTGCCCCTCGCGCGACTCTGCCCTCCTTGCTGCTGCGCGACCTGTTCTCCTGCTGCTGCGCGACGCCTTCTGGTTCCCTTTCTTTTTGTCTCTCTCGCTTAGTCAAAGGAAGAGCATTCCATATGATTTAAGATCAAAGAAAAAGACGCGAGGAAATGGAGGGCATCATTTATGACAAGCAGTGTACCATAGAAGTCGACCCTCCATTAAATTTATCAGAAATAGGCACATTCTCCTTCATGGCAGGGGGGAAACGTGCGCAGTGTAGGGGGAGGGGACGTGGCCAGGCAGAGGAGATAGAGAGAGAGAAAAGTCAAACATAAATTGAGTGCGATCCGACGGTCCATGTTCAATCTCGAAAACGACCCAACGGCCCACAAAATCCCAAATTATTAATAAGAGAAAAGGCCAAAAACCACCATTAAAATAAATCCAGAAGGAGGTCTATTAGTCAAAATCCGCACCCGGTACAAATTTCACTTTTCACCAATTCCGGGCAATCTCGAGGCTGGCCACATTAATATCGACACCGTCCAATTAAATTCGTCACGAAACTCCGAGAAATTCTACACCAAAGTTCAGGCTCTAAATAACGGCCAAATTCAATCGAATGTGATTATAGCGGAATCTCAAATTTAAAAATAACCCGAGAGTGATCAGTTCTGGGCGAGATTTAACTATAAGCGCATTGACAAAATGCACATTTTATAAATCCCAAAAAATGAATCGAAATTCGGAATGTCACAGAAAAATATCACAACATATTGCATAGACACCCCATCAAAATTAGGGAAAAAGAAGAATGGTGCAGGCAGCAGAAGTAATATTGAAAGCGAATTAAAAAGAGAAAATCTTCTCGCCGGATCCTCAGCTCCTCTACTAATAGAGATGCAATACTCTATTATGCACATCATTAAAAGATCCCAAGTTTAGAAAGAAGGTTAATATTACAAGAAGCACAAAAACCATTCGGTTCGCTATTTTGATTAGATTCCCTTTTGTTATTAGAATGGTATGTATTGGACATATGCACGCTTGAATTCAATGCTATTATTTGAATCATACGCAACAGATACATGCACGCTACTCAGATTGGACTGAATTTGTCTTTCCTATTTGAGTTGGGTATGTTGGATTCATGATCGACATTCAAACGTTGTCTTTGAATTTGATGCTTCGAATCTACTTTCGTTTATTTGACATGGCATCAAATTCATGCCCCTTTTTGCTTGCTGCTTTGATATAGATTCATCCATGCTTATACGTTGGGCTCATTTATGGCATTTTTCTTATATTGAAAAAACATAGATCTCACACCATGAACAGTCGAGCCCTTATTCGGCCCCATGATGCGGCAATTTTACCTAAAAGCCAATAACATAGTTTTTTAGTGTTCGAAACATATAAAGAAAACTATATATGTATTACTTTAATAAATCTCATGATATGAGGATTTAACCAAGGAATGTGGTACCGAAAGGGTGATCTAGAATATGCTAACTCGTTTGCGCATGTAACTGAATTCTCTATTCTTAAACTTTTCATTGTCACTTTACATTCTAGTTGACTTTCTTGTTAGCAATCAATCTAAAAATTGACTGGTTTCAATTTCAACTCCCAGAACTATTTAAGCATTTGGATCAAAGGAGCTTACCCCCGACCTAGAAAGGAAAGAACATGCTTAAACTTTTGGGTGAAATTTTTGAACTTCTACTCTCAAAATTACAACTTTTTTGAAGAATCCGCGAGGGACACGCTACAGTGATTATGTCATATGTTTTGTCAAAGTTTTGGTTTTCGTGTACATTGAATTAGAGGAGACGTGACTAATTGAAGGATTTCAAATGCTTGATGCTAAAGATTGATGACATACACGATGAGGCTATGATCCAAAGTTTGATGCTTTTTTGGTAGTGCAGAAATTTAGTATTTCTTTTTTCATAATTAGACGAGTTCCACCAGAAAAAATTGACTGACAAATTGCATTATCAGTTTCGAACTTGCAATTAGTGCTGCTTTAGTTTAACTTTAATGAATTTTTTTAATATTAAAAAAATTGATAGATGAGATTAAAAAATTTAAATTGCTTGAAATAGAGTCAACACTGGTCCCAATGTGAAGAAGATGGTGAAGTTTCAATATATGATTTGATATTATACTAAAACTTGCAATGTTTGCAAGAAATGATTTTTAGTTTGTCTAAATCATTTTCACAATTATGTAGAAGTTAATTTTGTGTTATTTAACAATTTTTTTTTTAGAATCCGTGCACGGCACGAGCTTTTGTTTAGTTTCAGTTCAATTAGCCAAAAAGCCCATTTATGGGGCCCTGGAGGCCCCAAACTTGAAAATTTCATTACTAGTTTGGCAAATGAAGTAGTAGTAGCTAGAAAGGACTAAAGCTTTTTAACTTATTTTCTTTGCTTAACCATTCATGATAAATAGATTCGTCAAAAAATATTAGGACTAAATTAATCAAATTTAAAAATTTAGGACTGAATTGGCTGTCATACAATGGATTTAGGATTTTTTTAGACAATTATCCCTAGAGATCAACTATAGTGCATAGTCATTCCTTACATTTACGCAACAAATTTTTTCTATCATTTTTTTTATTGCTTGTTTTGATAAGTGTATAGTAATCAGAGACGGAATAGAGCAAGAAAGTTGGGCGGCCAAAGATACTCTCTGATATGAAATAAATAGTAACAATATTTAACGAAAATTATTTTTTAAAAAAATATAAATATAATTATTAGCAATATTTAAATATGTTATTATCTCTTTAATTCTTTCGGATTGAGACATAAATTAGAATTCTTTTCTTAAGATCTCATCTGTGACCTAATAGAGTGATGAGCTTGTAATGGGCAACAGTCATCACCAAAAACAGAAGTTTTCCAAGTACATTACTTGGACACCCCCTCAATCAGGAAAAAAAAAAACTCGGACACCCCTTGTATTTTTTTCAAATTGCACTCTGCCCCTTTGTCAATTCTTAGTAAAAAAAACATTAATCGAAATTGACTTTGGAATCAATAAAACTCCACATAACCAAGCAAGAGACACGAAAACAGGGTCGAACATAAATGGCCCTACCTTCTTGATTAGAATTACACATATTTCTCATGTTCAAAAAATGATTTTACATTTTTGCTTTTTTGTACATCGTTGTTCATCGTTCAATGCCAAATGCATAAGCCCTAACTTAAAAATCTTCTTCCACGCTCGACTCCCAGTCGGGCATGATTCATACTCGCAATTCTGTCTAAATGGGTCTAGAAGTACTTCCCCACGAAGAAGCTGATGAAGGAGAAATCTAACGTGGTTTTAGGAAGCATGAGAAACATGAATTGTGAAATCCTCTTAAGTAGTTGCTTATAGTCTAGCGTGGTTTAAGAGCCTCGTGGACAAAAAATAAGCTGCTCTCTCTCTCTCTCTCTCTCTCTCTCTCTCTCTCTCTCTCTCTCTCTCTCTCTCTCTCTCTCTCTCTCTCTCTCTCTCTCTCTCTCTCTCTCTCTCCCCGATAAAAAGATCCTTTTTAATGTCAAACCTAGGAGGACTACAACAAGACTAGTTTACAATGCACGAATGCTAGGTAATTTTACTTTAGTGTATTAACTGATGCCATAGAGTATAAGCAATCCTTTAAATAAGTTGGTCGCATAACCAACAAAGTGTGGTTTACCATATCAATGTACTAAGCAGGGTGCAAGTGCAATTTTAATTTCAATGAATGTGTGTTCTTTGATGTTTAAGAATGTCGTCATGTCACTTAGAGTATAGATAGAGTGGACCAATATTCATACAGTAAAGTTATTCAACAAAAATTAGTGTATTATAAAAGGAAGAGGACTCTTATTGAGTTTCGAAACATGGTCCATTCGTTCAAATACTAATTTAGCCTATTAGTGAAATCGCTTGTTTTTTTCAGGTTTGGGAAAAAGGGGAATGTTGGGACAACTAGTATAACTATTCCTAGGAACATTGATACATCAACAGTTTAGACGAGTATTATTATCAGTTTTTCCACCGAACCACCCAAAGTCACGTGGGAACACAGAGTGAGCGAGAGGACAAAATAGAAGATCACATTCGGGATTCCATTTGTCTTTAAAATAATATTTTCGAAGTTTTTTTAAAAGATGAAAACAATTCAAAATGACTAAAATTAAATGGATATGTGCCATGATAATTATTTTTGGACAACTGACGTTTAATAGAGATGACATTTCATATGATATAAATATAATCATTTTAAAAGTCGAGCAAAAGGAATAAATTGTGAACAAAAGAAGATAGTAGTAGTACTAAATGGTAAAAAAAATTGATAAGAATTTTCGCGGATATTGCTCTTACAAATCAATGGCTTGTTTGTTTAAAATCTAGTTTAAATAAAAAGTATATTTTCCTTTCCTTATCAAAACTCTGAATATTATCCAAATTTCAAAAGAACATATATGCGAATTTATTTGTAACATATATTGTGAAAGTTTATTGAGATTACGAATTGAAAAAATTGAAATGAGAGCATCGCAAAATTTAAAATCAAGTGGAAAATTAAAATAAATATTCTTCGAGACATGTAATAAATTAAACTGTGAAAAAGCTAAGTATTAACGAGAAAGAAAATAGCAAGGGGCAGAGTGGGAGACAAAAGCCATATATTCAAAAAAATATAGGATCCTCGTCGTATAGACTATGGAGAATAAAGAATAGGGAGGGGCTATTAAACTTTCTATATTTGACACAAATTAAAATCTAAAAATTTTGCATAAGATTGTCCTTCCATGTCGGCCATCTATCACTCCATTCATTAATTATTACATATATATAGTGGATTCACTTTCCACCTTTACTCTATACCCTCCGTCTTTCTCCGTTACTATTTCCCTTTGCGCCTTCTCCTCTTTTGCAGTCTCTCTCCCCATTGAGAATCCATGAAGTAAACAATTTTCAGAAAATCCGATGAGTTCATGGAAGTGAAGATGAGCCCCCATGAATAGGACTCCAAAGGTCGCACCGTAGAGATATTCAACGGCTTCAATCGATAGAACAAAACATCCATATAGATGGCGAAGATCATGACTAATTAGAGTATCATTTTG